TAAGCAGTGATCCTCCATGGCCTACGCTCTAGCTCCTGCCTCCAGGTTCCTGCCCTGAGTTCCTACCTTGGGCTCCCTGATGAACTGTGACCTGGGAGATGTAAGACAAATAAACTCTTTCCTCCCCAAGTTGGTAATGGTCAGCATGTTTTGTGACAGCAATGGTGAACAAACTAGGACAGAAATTGGTACCAGAAGTGGGGTATTGCTGTGATAGAACTGACCTTGGTGTTTTTGGGAGGACTTTGAAAGTGTTTGGAACTTTGGGCTGGAAAAGCCATTGCATACTCCTTCGTTGCTGTGGAGCTTGGAATAGTTATACTGAAAGAGTTGTGGACAATGGAGGCCTGGCTTATGAAGCTTCAAAGGGAAGCGGAGACTATCAGGGCTGTTCATGTCATATTTTGAGTTGAGAATCTGTGGGTTCTGGTTGGCTGGGGTTGAAGAATTAGCTGTGATTAAGAAGAGACCAGAACCTGAAGCAAAACCTTTGCTTTACTGGGACAATTGATGCTGGTTAGCTGGGGCTGAAAAATCAGCTGTAAGTAAGAAGATACCAGCATCATTGAGGTGAAGTATTCTGGGAGGTATTTCCTCAGGGTCAGCACACAGAGGGGACCTGAGCATCTATCTCAAGCTGGAAGCAGGACTTGGTAATGTGTAAGAGTCTCCTGTGTAGTTCTGGTGTTGAAAGCGTGAAGGGGTCACAGAGAGCAGCTGAGGCTTAGCACTCTGAGAGGCCAGGAAAGGCCATAGGTGAAAGTGCAGCATCAGTTGCAGTGAAGACCCCAGGATTGAAGGGGTCATGGAGAGAATCTGAGGTTTTGCATCCCAAGAGGCAAGAAGAGGCCATTGGTGAAGGTGCAGCCTCAGTTTCAGTGGAGACCCCAGCTTTTTGGAGATGCCGGGACCATGGGACGACCACCAAGGACAGCAGTAGGTGTGGAATGGAGCTGGCCTGGGTTTGTGAGACAAGTTGTGTGTGCTGTGGACTGCAGAGTCAGAGAAGTGGAGCTTCTAGAACCCTTTGGAGTCCAGAAGATCATGAGTGAATCCCAGCTATCCAGGCTCAAGCTACTTTGCTGAAATATGGTTTTGCTTAGGTGTGCCCGATTCTTTCCTTTGAAATAAGACAGTACTTATTTTGGATTTTCCAGAAGCTCACCCACAGTTAAGAGACTTTTAAAGAGACTATGGACTTTTAATTGGATTTTTAAGAACTGTGGGGTTTTTAAGGTTGTACTGTCTTATGTTGTGATATTAATGTTAACATATCTTGGGGACAAGAATTGGAAAGATTATGGTTTAATAGTGATGTGTTTGTGTGTCAAGTTGACAAGGGGTCAATTGTGCTGGATAGCTTTAGTGTCAACTTGACACACCTGAGTTGAGGGAGCCTCAATTGGGGAATTGCTTTCATTAGACTGGCCTGTGGCCATGTTCATGGGGCACCTTCTTGATTGTAGTGTGATGTGGGAGGGCCCAGCTTACTGTGGGTGGTACCACAGGGCAGGTGGGCCTGTGTTGCATAAGAAAGCAGGCTGAGCAGGGGCCAAGGGAGCAAGTCAGTAAGCAGTGATCCTCCATGGCCCACTCTAGCTCCTGCCTCCAGGTTCCTGCCCTCAGTTCCTACCTTGGACTCCCTGATGAACTGTGACCTGGGAGATGTAAGACAAATAAACCCTTTCCTCCCCAAGTTGGTAATGGTTAGAGTGTTTTATCACAGGAATGGAGAACAAACTAGGACAGCTTCCAAAAGCACCCGTCTATTGGGTTCCTCCTCATTTTTCTTTTGTCTTCCAAGGATGGACTCTAGAGTGATGGATTCAGGATTTGCTTTCAGGTATTTTGACAGCTGTTGGAGTGGTTAGAATCAGGATCAGTTCCCTCTCAAAGGCTTCTAGATAGGGGGAGAAAACAAATTTATCCATCATTTTAGAACAATACAGTAGCTGGTTGCCTCCTTCAGCGACAGGTGGGCACTACAGTATTGCAGACCAAGATTTGAAATCTTACATCTGAGCAACACTTTCTGGTTAGGAACAAAATTGTCAATGAGATATAATTGTCTAAATAACTTTTTATATAGACTTAAGCCTAATGTCTGGGAAGTGTAATCCCTTGAACTCTTAAAACAATATACTGATGACTTTACTTGTTGGTTATACTTTCCTTTTGGGTGTTTAAGACCTTACAGTTGGCCTAAATAAATCAATTTATTTTTGCACTTAAGGTTATTTGAGGATCTGTTCCTCAGGGGCCCCATGGGCTTGGGAAGAGCCCCTGGCTCCTTTCTTTTACCAGTTCCATCTATGTGAAGATAAGTCAAAGGTCCTGCTTGACCATGACTGGCTTCACTTGGAAGCATGAATGAGATGTTTCCTCTGAGTTGACCCTCCTCTTTGTAGACTGGACACTGGTTCAAATCCATCTCGTGGGGTCTCCATGACCTCCCGGAACAAGAGGACAGGTGACTCACCACAGTTACAGGACATTTTGAGAGCTGTTCCATAGTCCCCTGGAACTTAGTCAACCTTGGAGGGCAAGGGGCAAAAACTGTTCAAGGCCCTCTGACCGCATTAGTATAGGCCTCAAACTATGCCTGTTAAACATCCAATAAGGTTAGTCCCATCAGTCTGGTACTTTTAATTATCATGTTCTATGTAAATAAGGCTTGGGTAAAAAACAAAATAGTCTCAGATAAACTTTGACTATAATATATATATATATATATATTGTTCCTTAAACTAGTTGACTAAACTATGACCGTAGACATTTTAAGATTATGTGTATATTATTTTTGTCTCATCCTTTATATATCATAACAAACCTAAACGGACCTTCATCACTTGATAAGGCTTTCTCATTTTTTCTATTTTAGAAAGTATCTCCATTCTCATATCCTTTAACATCTTACATTCTCATTTTCTTTCTTTTTTTAAAATAATTATGAGACACAATAGTATTAACAAATAAATTTTCCGTCTGTTGTGAGACTTCTTTTCCTGGGGATGCTAAGAAATGCTTATTCCCTTTCAAGGTTGTAATGTCGAGCCAATGTTTAATTAAAGTTTTATGGGGAACCAGTGAATTTACTGAGCTTACTTACCTAGATAACTGAGGGGTTGCTGAGGTGTATGTATGACCTGAGGGTATGCACATTGTAAACCCTTTATCCAGCACGAGTCATACCTTCACTTCCTATCCTTCCTCAGAATGTATACTTTAGCCCTCCCCAAATCCAGGAGGGCATGTGTGATTAGGGTCAAATTACATTCATTTGACTGGGAAGAGTGGCTGGATAATGTGGTGAGGGTCCAATAACTCTGCTTGGCCCTCCTTTAATGCAGGAGCACATCTGTCAACAAGCCCAATTGTAATGGTGTTTAGCAATCAGGCTCAGCTGAAGTTGTGATGATAGTAGTTGTTTCATGCAGAAGAGATTACTGTATAGCATCATCTTATTAAAAGGACCACCACGGTGGAGGCAGAATCCGAGGGCTCTCAGGCAGTCCCCTGTGTTCTCAGCTCCTCTGTCACAGAGAGGCCAGAAGCCGGCACTCTCTCTCTCTGGTGGTCTGCTAGATCAGAGCCACTACACCTATGGAGGTCGGAACCCATCTTCTCAGGCTCTTCAATTTCATTCTTAATGAGGATGACATGTCAACTCAGTGTGTACCAGTAAACAGTGTATTTCTTTCTCAGTATTGAGTTCAAAGGAAATGAAATGCAAAGAACGACTTGTACATCCAGGATCCTAGTCACTTCTGAGGAGGAAGGTTTCCGAGCTGTGTAATCAAGCTCTGAGAGGCGGTACCAGATGACCTGTGTTTGTACTGTTCGTTGACATAGCTTTCTTTCTTTTTTAAATTTAAATAAATAATTTACTGAGAATTTCATACATGCATATAAGGTGTTTTGATCAAATCCATGCCCACTCCCTCCTCTCCAACTCCTCCCATATCTCCCCATCACTTTTCTGATAACTTCCATCTTTACAAATATTATTGTAGCATAATTAAACTGTTTTCCTTAGAGTTTTATTGATGCAGTTGGAAACTTGAACCAGAAAAGTAATTGTAATTATTTAGGGGTATAAATTTATAAATAACTCTTAAGATGGCATGGTTAAAGTTTAATTCTCTTTAATGCAATGTGAGATGATTTGTTCTCGGTTACAAGATGCTATCTTTATTCTTCAATGTCTCCCATAGCGTTTTAAGTGATAAATGAACGCAAGTTTATTTATGGATACTTTTTTTTTTGGTTGAGACAGGTTTTTATATAGCCCAGGCTGGCCTCGAATTCACTATACAGCCAAGGATGATCTCGAATAATTGATCCTCTTGTTCCCACCTCCCAAGTTTGGGATTTCAGGCATGTACCAAGGCACCCAGATATTTATGGATACTTTTATTTATATGAACCACATATTTTTTAATATTATTTATATTTCTGACATTTTGGTATAGGAATTGATGTCAAATATGTTTTATTCAAATACTATTAATATTCTGTTATATCTTACTGATTGTGATTTTTTTCTGTTTAAAAATAAAATTACTATATATACAAATGTTTAATGTTTTTAATTTTTGGTAATTAGCATGCCTGTAAATGGCAGTTTGGTATTAGTGTGCTTTTTTGTCTTTCTGTAGGTGTGAGAGCCTGGGATATTTATTGACTAATTTCTGTTACTGTTTCATCTCCACAGTAATAGTGGCTACTATTTTTAAAAATAATTTATTTATTATTTTTAATTTCTTGTGTATGAGTCTATTGCCTGCATATATGTAGGTGCACCCATATCATGCAAGTGGCTACTATTTTTGATTAAGGTTACTATCTTGTTTTTGAGTTAATGTTTTGGGAGGTAGTAGGATCTATACTATAATAAAAACACATTAATGATATTATAATAGATGTAGCCAATTAAACTTTTTTATTCCTTTTATTGTCTATAAGCCTCAAGCTTAATGACATTTTATTTTGTTTGTTAGACATTTTTGGCTCTCATAAACCAAGTATTCCCTGCAGAAGAGGACAGTAAAAAAGATGTGGAAGATAACTGTAAGTATCAAAGTTCCTTTTCCACCTGAAAGAGTATGTCCTTCTAGAAAGTAAATTAGGGTCATGGTTCAGAGCACATAGGCTTGATGGAGAGCTCTTCTGATAAGGAGCGTAGAAGTCCCAGGCTTATCATCCTTGAGGATGTTCGCAAACCAACATTAAACAAAGCCACTGCATAGTAATTTATGATGGAAAATTAATTCAGAGCATTATATTAAAGTACAGTGTTAATTTGGCTTATAACACCTTAACATATTTGGTGAAAAACATGCATTGAACAGAGTATTTTTATTTTTACATTTTCAAAATTGAGAAGTAATCACATTTCAATTGTTTGGGGCTTTCTATCACTGTAACAAAATACCCGAGTTAATATGAAAAGATGAAAGGTTTATTTTGGTTTGTAGATTTGGAGATTTTATTCCATAGTCATTTGGCTCCACTGGACTTGTGCCTTTGGTGAGGTGCAGTGTAGCATGGCAGGAGCATGTGGTAGAGGAACATGTGGTGGAGAAAGTTGCTTATTCCATTCCAACCAGAAAGCAGAGAGAGCTAAGAAAAGTCTGCATCTCCATTATCCCCCTTAAGGCATACCCCAGTAACCTAGACCTTCCACTAGCCCATCTCTTAAAGCTATCACCGTCTTCCAGTAGTTCCAAGCAAGTGCCTGGTCTCAATACATGGGCCTTTGGAGAACATTCAATACCCAAACTCTAATGTGGTGGGGTGGTATTTGAGATCATTTCCAGTTACTATGAATTTCATTAAGGTATCTGGCCTTAAACTCTATAGAAAAGAAGATAAGAGGAAGAAGGGATAGATTTGTTCTTACTGATTTTCATTGACGTTTACAGTTGAGTACCTTGAAAGACCCCATATGTAAATATAGCATTGTGGAATGAACAGTGGGGATGATGGGGTACTGTGGGCCGGGGTGAGGTCTCCTGGGTTCTGATCTGACTCCAGGTTGGAAGTGTCTGTGCCTTCAGGCAGCACTGCTCTCTTTTGAGCGGCTCATCTGTGAAGGCGAGTAGTAATGTATATGTTACACATTTAGAGGTGATATATTGTTTGGCAGAGTACCTGACTGCTGCAGACTCCATGGACAGTAGCTGTTATTATTAGATGGAAAGGCTGAGAAAAATGTATAGTTGCCTCCCTCTCGCAAGTTGCTAGACAGGTTGTTTGATGAGATAATGGAGCTTTGAGTAACAATCAAAGCAGAATAAAAAGAGCAATAGGACTATACTGTCTAAAATAATAGACAACATCACTCTGTTAAACTTTACTAGAGGGGCCAAAGCGATGACTTAGTGGGTAAAGGCACTTGCACAAGCCTGAGGACCTGATTTCGATTCCCAGGACCTACGTGGTGAAAGGAGAGAACTCCCACGTGCACCGTGGCATGTGCTGCCCCTCTCCCCCGACACACAAATAAATGTAAAATAACTTTGCTATCATATGCAAAGTAACAGTTACTCTTTTTTCATGTGTTAACACTTTTGCTTATATGTAGCTAGACATGATAGGCTTGAATTTTTCATATTTCTTAAATTAATATTTTAAAACATTTTCTTGTTGTTTGCCTTGAGGTACTTGACTGCCTTTTGCTTTTCTTTCCTGGCCTCCTCAGTAGCTTCTTTGAGAGTCCAGGTGGCAGCAGTAGTAGCTTGTGGCTGCCAGCTGTTCTCATTATCTGTAGCTGCCCCTACCCAAAGCTCTGTAGTTTCTGCAGCTTGGTTGTTGAGTTTGGGATGTAGTTTACTTCAGCTGAAGTGGTTCCTTTAGTCTTTTGTCTGAGGGTTTCCATTATCCTACTGTCCTTTCTGAATGTCTCTTTTGTGTGTCTCATATCCTTTCATTTATTCTATATCATAGTGATAATGTAGTATTTAAATGCTCAGTATCTGTAGTTTTTTATGAACTGTGCAGTAAAGATTCAGTGAAAACAGAGGGAGGTATAGGGCTGGTCATGGTAGTGTACATCTATAATCCCAGCACTTAGGAGGCTGAGGCAGGAGGCTCTCAAGTTTGAAGTCAGCCTTGGCTACATAGCAGGACTCTGTATGAAAACACACACACACACACACACACACGCACGCACGCACGCACGCACACACGAGCAGGGAAGCAAATATCTAGAGGTAGATATTATCTTTTGATAGTGCTCTACTAATAAAATATATTATTTAGTTTTAAGTTTCCTATGTAAGGGTTTTATATGTAGAGATTAATATATTAGCTTTGTATTTTTACTTGATTCTTGGGTATTAATAATAGAATAGAAAGATAATTCAAGGATACATATTCAGTAATTAAGAAGAATGTAATGGCATGATTTTGTACTGATTTGAAGACATCATTGCTTCTATTGCATATCATATTCTTCATGAATATTGTATTTACCTGGTAGATGTTGAGAATAACTAGGTAGAGTGTAAAAAGGGAAAGAGTCCTAAAAGTTGCCCTTTCATTCTTTTTCTGTGATGGGACGCCTTCTCCAGTCAATACATCCCACATTTATTCACTTCTGCTATATGCACATTACTTTTTTACCCTTTTCACGGAACTAGAGCTCTGTTTAGTGAATAGGATCCAAAATACTCTGATAATTATCTAGTCAGATACATAAATTTAATGAAGTCATACTTGTTCTTCATTAGAAGCTTTTGACATATTATACATTATATTGCCAAGTATTTCCAAGGAAACACATTGTGGTTATACTTTTATGATAGTGTTACTTTTAAAATTTTATTGCCAAGCATGTATGAGGCCCTGGTTCAATCCCCAATACCACTAAAAAGGAAAACCAGTAACACGTAAACTTAGAGCTTTCGGGCCAGAGACGTGGCTTAGAAGGTAAAGGTTCTTGCCATGCAAGCCTGGTGACTGAATTTGAGTCTCCTGATCTTTGTAAAGGTGGATGTTGAAGACCAACTCCACAGAGTTGTTCTCTGTCCTGCACACACACATCATGTTATATACTGCCTTATGTCACATGTGCATACACACATAAACACTAACGTTTTTAAATGTAATGTTCTTTTGATTATAGCTAAATCTATATATAATTAGACATAAAAGACAGTTTAGTAAAGGAGTGCATGTAATAGCTGTGCCAAGTAGCCCCTAGGGATGGCTACTTGGAGAAGAGATTGGGGAGGAACTAGGTGGAGCAGGAAGCAGTGTGTAGGACCCTTGTAAACAGTCCCAGGTTGGCCCATTAGGTGGTTGAGACTTAGCATCTCCCACATTCGTAAGCAGAAGGTTGTACATATGCTCCTCTATTTTTTTTTTTCTGTTTCCTTGAAAATGGACTAGCCTGGGTAGATCTTCCTGTTCAGAGTCTTAACGTCATTGACGGATAGTTACCATGCAAGGGGTTGATTTGGTTGAATGAACAGATATTCTTGAGAAGGCAGGTGGTGAGTGTGGATGGAGGTGAAGAGAACAGAGCTAGCAGCCATGCACTTGTCAGTATAGGTTTACAGGGCCAGCTTTTCCAGTGAGACGTACTGCAGTATTAGAGATCTCATTTAGAGGAAGCGGAAGATAGCATGCACACAGGTGTTCCAGAGGAAAGTGAGATGTGGGGAGTCACTCAGCAGAGTTCTTCAAATAAAGACCCAGCACCATGTAGACCAGACTTCTAGGGGATGTGGGTGGAAAAAGAGTTAGGGAAATAGGAGTGTACATGACTAGATATCCAATCCAGATACCTCTGCTGCCTGATTCTTCCCAAATCCTTCTTCAGTTCAAAGGCTAGCTGCAGCTCAACTATTAGGAGGCACCACCTTCTTTTTCCTCTTACTCTGCTGTAAGTGGCGCTAGAAAGCAGAGGGGCCCTTGCAGAGTGAATTGTTTGCATCGAGTGCAGAAGCGTGGGAGGCAGTCTAGTGGGAGACTTATTTTACACTATTGCCTAGGCGTTGACACAGGTACCAGCAGTGCAGGCACTACAGACATACATATAATCTCCATGAGGGCCCCCGGCACAAAGTGAATCAGGCAGTATCCTGCCCTTGAGTGTCTGGTTTAATTGCTAAAACCATAAGTGTAAAATGACCGCCTTCATACTGACAGTTGTGGTACTCTCCAGATAGAAAGTACAATAACCAGGAGCTGGAGAGATGGCTCAGCAGGTGGGAGCTCTGACTGCTCTTGCAGAGGACCTGGGTTCGGTTCCCAGCACCCACATGGAGGCTATGGACCGCCTTCAACTCCAGTTCCAGAGGAATCTGAAGCCCTCTTCTGACCTCCGTGGCATTGCATGACACGGGTGCACTCACATACATGCAGGCAATACATTCATACACATAAAATAATAAAATATTGAAAGAAAAAAATACAATAACCAATGTTTGGAAGATAGTTAATTTGATAAATAGCTCAATCTGTGTACAAGTTAGATTTTAAAAGGCCACTTCCATGTGTGTTTATTAAGAGCTTTGCTTAGATTTGAATGTTGATAGTTGACTGAGCCCCACTGATGTTCATTTGAGATAGAGATTTGAGATTTCATTAGAGTTCTTTTTAGTTAGTACTAAAGCAATAGACAGATGAGAGACTATTATAATCACAAAGGAGGCAATGAGAGCTGCACAGGTAGGGGCTGTAGAAAAGGACAGAGGAACCACATGTCAGATACAGATTATGTTAATATGAGTATACTAACCACCAGCTTGGCAATGGGCTTTGCCTTTTTAAAAAAAAATGTGATGTAAAGACTTGGAAACTGATTTAGAATGGGAAAATGAGAGAAGGTTTTGATGCTGACTAAGGGTTACAGTTTGGATGGCTGATAAAATTATGATCGTAACCACAAGTACAGTGGCTAAGAGGGAGAGTGGGCCTGTCTGCTCTAGCGTGTCGTGGCGATGGAGCACAGGAGATGGCAGAGCTTGGGGACTAGATAGGGGAGAACTTGGATGGCTCTTCCAACAGTCACCAGGAAAACAAATTTCTACTCTAATTCTGCAGTTAAGGTGCACATATGCTGGGTTGGGACATACATGTTGTCTCCCGGCCTGACTCATCCTTCATCAGTTAGCTGTGAGAGATCATCCAAGTGATCTGATGGTCCCTTGCCATTCTAAAACTGTATCCTTTCTGTTTTATCTGTAAGGTTCTAAGCATCTGACTGGATTAGCATCTCATTTTGTTCCATCATAAATGTCTAAAGTAGTTCTTTCCACTTAATTGATGCTTGACTTTTTAATCTGCCTTCCTCTGTCGGTACCCTCATTGGTACCCACTAGATATACTCCACTAGCTGGAAATGGATCATTTAAAAATTTCACATAAAATGAATGTAAACTGGATTTATTTTAAGCATGTGTTCTACCAGCGCTCTCCACTCCACATGGATCCATTTTAAATCAGCCCTTTGGGTTTATGTGTACCTGTGTTCTAAAGAGATGGAATTAAATATAAACTAACAAGTGGAGTTTAGGGGTCAAAGTGATTATGATTAGCATATGTTGTCTTACTTTCTTTTTTTCCCCTTAAACTGTCTAATTTAAATTTTATCATAGGTTCACTGATGTACTTAAATGAAGCCACACTCCTCCATAATGTCAAAGTTCGATACAGCAAAGACAGGATCTATGTAAGTATTTGACTGATGGCTTCATTTTTTTTTGTGGGGATGATTGTCTCACATGCCACTGTTTGCTGTTGTTGTGCCCGTGCCCGTGGGTTGCAGCATGAATTCTGTGGACACAGAGTTTTTTCTGATACACTGTTCTACACCCAGAGCTCCTGTATACTTGGTGCACTGTGAGTACTGAGAAAAATCTGCAGGGTGAAATAATGAATTCAGAGCACCATTTAGCTTGCTTCAGGCTTAAAAGGGTCCAATTTGAGTGTTTAAAAAACATTCATCAGATGCAAGTGAATCTCTGTGAGTTCAAGGCCAGCGTGGTCTACATAGTGAGTTCTAGACCAGCCAGGTAGTAAGACCTGGGTTTTGAGTTCTTATTTTTGGCTTATGTTTATAGACCTGTTTAGTTTCATTTTTGCACATTGTGCAGAGAATTTAGCGTAGGCTGTGTGGAATAATATTGAATAGAAGGCAACATCTGAGGGAATAGCAGGTCTGTAAAGATGTTGCTCATGGAGCCTGAGTAACTGCAGTGTTTAAGGAGCTGCTAGGTGCTGTTCCATAGAAGTCCAGATTACTGAACAAAAAGAGACTTGATTGCAGAATCAGAGCAGACATTTATTTTCCTGGTGTTGTTTTTGGTATAGTTTGTATGAGATCATTCAGATGGCTGTTTAACTACTATGTTTTAATTGCAATTATTCATTTGGTGTATATGAGATTTCATTCGTCTGTGACCTGGTCAAAGATTCCTTAGTTGGGTGAAGATAAATTACCATACTGTGGTTCTCCTGCTATAAGGATGGGACTTCATTATTTCTAAATGAGGAAAGCCCATGACTTCTTTGACACTTACTAGATCAAATGACAGTCTTAATCTTTTATATCACTATCAATTTGCCTAATTGTAGGTACTTAATTCTGACTAAATTACATCTAGTCTTTGCCATCTGTCCAAGTCGTGACAGCTGGGAAATGGAGTTAATGTAGTCTGTTCCCAAAGAATTTGCTTGCTGTCTTCTAATTATACAAGGTAGTAAGACTTTACTTTCCTCCAAATTCAGCTAAACAAAGAGTACACTTAGATGTAAATATAGGTGTTCTTGAGTAGAAATACATATAGAGGCAAAATTTACTCAATTAGCAGCTTCATGTTGATCAGAATCTAAATATGTATTCAGTGCTGTTTTAGATGCTGAAGTAGCGCAGAGTTTTAAAGTCAGTCCAAGCAGTTTATCTTGCAGTAAATCAATGACAGTAATTTGGAGAAAACCAGGAGGCGTCATCTTTCTAAGAGAATATGAGAACCAGTGTTTTCAAGGCTTCCTGGAGTCATGACTGGTATCTTTTCCTATCCAGTTAGGCTTTTTAGTTACAAATTATTAAATATCAGTAATAGAGAAGGTATCTATTATTACTGTAATATCTAAATGAAGGAGGCAGTCACTATTCTTTACACATATATATACTTATATGAAGGAAGCAATTTAAAGTAATAGTTTAAATTTGATATTTTGTGTTTCTTGCCAGAATTTTCCATAAAAGAGTAGCCAAACCACACTTAACATTTTCATGTTACTGAAATCTGTGATCCTTTTCTTTTGTGCCCTCTGAAAATATGTGTTCTCAGATTTCTTATTGTTCATTTTCCTCTAGGAATTATCTTTAAGATCATCATCCACATTCTAGATGAGTGGTCTGATACCTCAGAATTTTTATAGCATTTCTCTTCCACAGTTGAAGAAAAAAAAAGTACAGTCCTGTGTGCCCTAGTTTTGTCAGTTTTACTAACATAGCTCTACCTGCCTAACTAGGAATTTTATAAAATTATAAAAACTACTGCTGCGTTTTTATGGTCTTTTAAAGCTGCAGTTGGAGTCCAAATTTAAAAGGATGTCCAAATTGCTCCTTAAATATTTACCCATGAATGGTTAGCATGTGGTATTTTGCAGAACTCTAGGATCAAGTGGTCACTTCAGACCTAAATCACTCCTGAGCATTCACTGGTGGAGATGGCCCAGCGCAAGCTCTTTTAAACTCTTTAGTACCAGAATGAGGAATCTGTGAGAATACAAATGAGCTGAACTCAGCTCTAGGGGGAAAAAGGAGACTCTTAAGTGGAGTCAACAGAAGCAGCCTGGGTGAGAGGTGCAGATACTCAGATTTCTGTGGTGGTAATGTGATGGTGCCGTGTGCCTGAGAGCTATGGCAAGGGGTTTTTTATGAAACAGAGGGAAATGGGAAGACGTCCTCTTAATTTTGGAGGTGTTGAGTTTAAGATGATTGTGCAATGACAACATGAGTATTTATTTAAAAAAAACTTATTTGGGGTTAGAGAAATAATGAGATCTGTAAGATCAGGGAATATTTAGGAGTAGAGATGTAGATTTTGGAGTCTTGTTTGTACTAAGAATTGATGTGGCTGTTGGTATTTCTCCTGTTAGCCTTATTTAGCTTTACTAAGATATGGGAGACTCCATGTTTCTGCTTTTCCTACTTAGACATACGTCGCCAACATTCTGATTGCAGTGAATCCATACTTTGATATTCCAAAAATATATTCTTCAGATACAATTAAGTCATATCAAGGGAAATCTCTTGGGACAATGCCACCTCATGTCTTTGCGATTGGTAAGTGATTTAATTAGAATTCTTGTCTTTCCTTATGTCATACAGATTTACTTGGCTGTTTTTATTTTTTCTTTAAAAATTTTCCATTCTATGTGGTCACTATACTGGTTACATAAGGACATTTTCATACAAGTGTACACTGTTCATTATTTTTTTCACACACCCCCAGTCCCTCTCTACTCTCTTATTTCTCCCCATCCCCTTTCCTGATAATCTCCTTTGTTTCCATAGACAGTTTTACCTGTACTTTGTCATGTATACATACACAGTTTATGTATCTATTTAAAATCTAGGAACCATGTGTTAGAGAAAGCATACTTCTCTTTCTGAGACTGGTTTAATTTACTTACTATGATTACCTCCAGCTGCATCCATTTTCCAGCAAATGACATAATTTCATTCTTCTTTATGGCTGGAGAAGCACAGTTGTGTATATGGACCACATTTTCTTTATCTAGTCTTGTGTTATTGGGCACCTAGGTTGGTTCCATAGTTAGCTGTTGTGAATAGTGCTGCAATAAACATTGATGTACAAATATCACTTTACCATGTTGACTTGAAGTTCCTTGGGTAAATATCCAGGCGGGTGTTATAGCTGGCTCATAGGTAGATCTCCCTCCCTCCCTCCCTCCCTTCCTCTCTCATTTCTTTGTTTCTTTGTTTCTTTTTTTTTGTGTGTAGTGGGTATGTGTGCATGATGTGTGTATGTGGGACACATACGTGCAATATCACAGATGTGGAGTGGAGGTCAAGAGGACAGTTTGGTGGAGTTGGTTCTCTCCTACCTTACCATGGTTCTGGGGATCAAATTTAGCAAGTGCTTTACCCACTATGTTATCTCACTAGCTCTATTTTTAGTTTTCTGAGGAATTTATGTACCAATTTCCATAGAGGCTGTGCTAGTTTACATTTCTACCAGCCGTGTCTACAGCTTTGCCAGTCTTTGTTGTTATTTGCTTTCTTAATGACTTCTATTCTGGCTGGGTGAGTTAGACTCTCAGTGTGGTTTCAATTTTCATTTGTCTTATAGCTAAACATTTCTCTATATTTTTATTGGTCACTTGTGTCTCATCTTTTGAGAACTGTCTGTTCATTTCCTTAACTTGTTTATGAATTGGGTGGTCTGATTTCTTGGCCGATTTTGGGGAGTCTTTTAAAATGTTTTTATCAGCACATATTAGTTATACGTAAACTAGGTTTCCTTGTGGCACTTCCATACATGTATGTGATGCACGTCAGTCATATCTAACCCTGACAGCATCTCTCGTCTTTTTCCAGTCCTGCAGGTCAGTCCCCTTCTTCTTTCAACCAGCCCCCTTCTACTCTCATCTTTTTTCCTGTGACGCAGAGAGTTTCAGTAGGCTTGTTTACAGGAGCATGGGCACCTTTCTAGTGGACCATCACTGGAGAAACTGACTCTCTTCCCTAATCAAGCACTGACTTCATATAAATCCTCAGGGAGGGGTGCAGCCCTGTGACTCCTGCCCCTTCCTGGACAGGGTTTTGAACGGCCCAGTCTTGTGCAGATAATCACAGTGACTGAGTTCAAGAGTGCAAAGCTTCATCATGCCTGGCAGCCAGCGTTCCACACTGCTGCCCCCAGCTCCTTCCTCTGGCTCTTGCATTCATTCTGCCCCTAGGTTTTTTTTTTAAAAGTTCTTTTTATATTTTAGATTCTAATTCAATGTCAGATGTTAGCTAGTAAAGATTTTCCATTCCATAGGCTGTCTCTTCACTCAAACAACTGTTTCCTTTGCTGTGTAGAAAAAGCAAGAGTGCTCTTTTTATGAAGCCAGTATCACTTTGAAACCAAAACCGGACACATACATGACAGTAAAATAGAAAATTTTATAACAATTTCCATGATGAATACAGTTGCAAAATTTCTAAATAAAATATTTGTAAATTAAATTCAAGAACACATCAAAAAGATCATTCTCCCTGATCAAGTTGGCTTTGTTCCAGTGATGAACGGATTGTTCAACATATGCAAATCAAGAAAAAGACTATATCACAGAAATGGACTGTAGGATAGAAATCACATGATCATCTCAGTAGGTGCCGAAAACACTTGACAAAATCCAGAGTCCTTTCATGATAAAATCCCTGAATAGACTAGGAATAGAAGGGCACATTCTTAGCACATAAGACAGAGCTGTAGCCACCATTATACTAAATGGACACAAATTGAGAACATTTCCACTTAAATCAGGAACGAGACTAGGGGCCACTTTCTCTACTCTTGTTGGTACAGTGCTTGAAGCCTTAGAGCGAGGACAGGAGATATGAAAATGGAAAGGATACAAACAGGAACTGAAGGACTCAAAGTGCCTTTATTAGCATATGGTAGGGTTTGAATCATAAAAGACCCCAGGCTAGAACCCTACGTAAGACTACGGTAGAAAAGTTCTCAATCTGATATAGACTTTCAGGATATGAAACGGAATAGTTTGAGAAACACTGGTGTTAGTTCTTTAAAAGTCTGATAGAATTGGGCAGTGAATCTGTCTGGGCCTAGACCTTTTTTAGTTGTGAGATTTTTTTTCCCTTATCACTCATTTCCTGTTATAGATTGTTTAAATTATTTATCATATCTTGGTTTAATTTTGGTAGGCCATATTACATCTTAGAAATTTATTTTTTAGATTAAAAAATTTTAAATTTAATTTTTGACAATTTCATACCATGTTTTATGAACGTATTCACTCATTACCCGTATTTCCTCCTCCCACTTCTACAGACCCCTTTTTTCCCACCCCTCTCACTTCTACAGACTGCCTTTTTCTGACCAGTTACTCTCTTACTTTTCCCTGTCTTGGATTTTTGTGCAGGTCACTATAGCTGCTGCATGTTCATGATTACATCTGGAAGACTGCATTTCATAGGCTTCCTCTCCATCCTCTAACCTTTACAATCTTTCCACCTCCACTTGCCCGAGGTTCCCTGGGTCTTAGAAAGGGTGCTATTGATGTCCTTTTTAGAGCTCAGCACTCCACAGCCACTTATTTTCAGCATTTTGACGAGTTGTGAGTCTCGGAAGCCTGAGCCAAGGCAGATAGCAGCTAGTCTGAGGGTAGAGATACCAACACGTAGAGGGCGGAATGGCTACGTTTCTATTTGGTTTAATATTAGTAGTAAGTTTCTCCATAGGCCCTGTGACATCCCTAGCCATATGTTTAAAATTTTTTTATTTATTGTTTTTATATGTTTGAGTATATTGCCTGCATGTATGTAAGTGTACCTGTGTCATGCAATGCCCATGGAGGTCAGAAGAGGGTGTTGGGCCCCTGGAACTGGAGTGACGGATGGTTGTTAGCTGCCATGTGAGTGCTGAGAATTGAACCTGAGTCCTCTGCAAGAGCAACTGGTGTTCTTAACTGTTGAGTTATCTCTCAAGCTACCCAGCTATAGGTTTTTGCCCAGGTTTATAGTACTAGTTATGTGTTTCTTCCAAAGAATGGGGCTTCAAATCCAATCAGAGTGGTTGGTTACTCTCAGAAAAACTTTGTCACTGTTGCACCAGAGGGTACATCTTCCCTTGCAGGACAGTACTGTAGTTCATAGGATCCAAGCTAGGGAAGAGCATTGGTGCCCTGTCTCCCTCAGCAGCCTGCATAGAACCTTCCAGTACTATGAACTCTATCCAGGGCCATGGGAGTGTCCAGCTTAGTTCTAGCTTGATTTATTTATGTGCAGAGTGTGTGTTGTCTTCAGTAATAGGGTCTTACCATCTAGTTCTGGTGGGCGGCCAAGAGCGGTGGCCATAGCCGGCATTGTTTTGGGAGCCTCTACAGCCTCCCTAACAGTAATCCATAGGGAGGTATTCCACACCCGACTCTAGGACTTTTGTTTAAAGACAAGTGTCTTCTGGGAGTAGCGTTAGTCATTCAGGGTACCACCAGTCAAACTTAAGAAAAAAACCAGTGACATCTTTTAGTTACCTTACGATTTAGCAGGTTTCTGTGTGGCATTTCCCTGATCTGAGATTTGGTTGGCCTGCTGCCTCCACGCCTCTTCCTGTTGTCATCCACCCCATTTCTGTTACCCGTTTCAGCCCCAGTGTTTCCCCTCTACTGTCATATCACATGTGTCCCACTAGCCCTTCCTCCCCACGTACACACTTTTCAGGGCTTTCTCTTACTTCCTGGCCTCTGCAGATACCCACTCCGACTTAAATACAGAAATCAGAAAATTTGAGGCTAGGACCCGCAAATAAGAGAGAACATAGGGCATTTTCTTGGAGGCTTTCCATTCTAGTGAAATAATAGGTTTTTAAGGTATGTCCTAATGACTGAATTTATCCTGGTGTCTGTTGTAATGCCTTCCTTTTCACCTCTCATTTTATTAATTTGTTTTCTCTCTTTCTTTTAGTTAGCTTACCTAAGAGTTTGTCAATCTTGTTTGTATGTCCAAGGAACCAACTGTGATTCTTGGTATTGTTTATTTCTTTTTCATTTGACTAATTTCTACCTGATCTTAATTATTTCTTTCCATTTATTGATTTTGAGTTTGGCTTGTTCTTGTTTTTCCAAGGCCATAAGGTACATTTTTATTTTATTTATTTGAGCTCTCCCTGAATTTTAATGCAGGTGCTTGTAGCTATAAACTTCCATCTTAGGGCTATAAACTTCCATCTTAGGGCTGCCTTCATTATAGCTCATAGGTTTTGGTATATTGTGAGATTAGTAATTTTTGAGGAATCATGTTGCCTTGGTTTTCATGTTTGTGTATTGGGGCTTGAACATCTGGGGTAGGGCACTGGTTGAGTTTTTTTTTTTTTTTTTTTTTTTTTTTTTTTTTTTTTTCAGGTTCTTACTATGTAGCTCCAGCTGTCCTGGAGCTCTGTGTGGTCCAGGCTTGCCTTGATCTCACAGAGATCTGCCTACCTCTGCCTCCTGAGTGTTGTGTGCCACCGTGCCTGATTTGAATTTTTTAAGAATTACACTATTCTTTCAGTGGAACTATTTGTTCAAGAAAGACTAGGCTGCAGTAGGGTTGACATGTTCTTTTTCTTTGGTAGAGTGGTGTCTTGGATGCCAGGCTTGGGCCCCAACACTCCCCTAAAGCAGTGACTGTCGAGGGGTAGACACTGCATATGCAGTAATGAAACCCTCACTGTGGAGGGGTAGGCTCTGTGCATACACAGTAATGAATGATAGTCACCCTAAACCCCAGTAATTTTAGGAAGCAACACTGATGGTCCAGTGCACCAAAATAGAGCTGCGGTGGTTTGAGTGGAAAGAAAAACAGCAGAGCGAGACTAGTGATTAGTATTGGCTGATAGAGAAGAAGTAGAGGAAGGAAAATAAATAGAAGGGGAGCAATAGAGACAAGGTTTGGTGAGACAGTTTTGGCTGAACGTAGAATGAAAAGAGTGAGATGAAGAAATCCAGTCACGTAACCTGAAAGAGTCCCAGGCCTAGGAGGCTGAGACTTGGACACCCCACAATCCAGAGTAGTTCATGTTCTTAGGGAAAGCCTACTGAAAGGAAAATGAAAAAGGAAGAGAAGTAATGAGAGAAGAAATGAGAGGAGAGAGGGTTACAGAGAGTGGAAGAGAAGAGGGTGAGAACAGCCGGCATGCGGGGTTGATGTGTATCAAACAGAAAGAATAAGTGAAAGGGGAGAGAGCTGAATGGGAGTGGGGTTTGGGTGCAGTCTCCTGTGTTGGTTACAGGGCTCCTAGTTCTTCATGGGTCAGCTCACAGATTCCAGTCACAGCTCTGGGCAGTCCTTCATGGGTCAGGTTGCAGATGCTGTTCTCTTCATTCATTCATTCATTCATTCATTCATTCATTCATTCATTCATACATTCATTCATTCATTCATTCATTCAATATTTTTATTAATAAAGAACACTATGAACTGAATACACGTTTTGCAAGACTTGTGTGCATCGTGGATTGTCAGCACTATTAGGATCATGTGTCTTACATAGGGATGGCAAAAATACTTTGCAACCACCTCAGAGGGTAGTCATGCATCATTGTTTATCAAATGCCCATGTCCTTTGTGTCCAGTTAAAGTAGGTGTAGTAAAAGATGACCTACTAGCACTTTCTCTTTTTAAAAGACAAGGTCTCTAAAGCCAGGCTTGGTGGCACATGCCTTTGATCCCAGCACTTGGGAGGAAGAGGCCAGCCTGGTCTACATAGTGAGTTCCAGGCCAGCTAGGGGCTGCAGGGAGACCCTGTCTCAAAAAAAAAGAGTCTCAAGACAGCTTCACTATATAGCTGATGTTCACCTTGAACACCTGAATCTCTTACCTCCATCTCCTAAGTGCTGAGGTTGTAGCATGTGCCACCATGCATGACTGTAATGGTGATTTTTGATCAGCTCCATCTTGAAAGTGCCCTCCTCTCTTACTTAGGTCATCACTTGTGAGCGTATTACTGGGGCTGGACTTGAGCTATTCAAGCAGACTTCTCCCCTCACTGTCTTGCATCAGAACTTTATAAAATTACAGGATTGAAAGTGGTATATAGGTCATATCACTGAGGATTTTGAGTGGGAAGACAGTAGTGTCTGTCTTGACTTTTCTCTTAAAACTGTCCAGCTCTGAGGCACAGAGGCATGGAGCGATCTGGTCAGAAGTGGAGCTTACTTGCCATCCTGCCCCGTCAGGTTCTTGGGGCTTGGTGGTGTTTTAATACCTTTGCATTCAGCCGTCTTGTTTGGTGCTTTGCTTAGTGCACTCTGTTTCACCTTGCATTTTCCCTCTGTGCTTAGGTTTTGGCTTAATTAGGCTTCACTTCCATATTTGGTTGTGTGTGGAATAAGTGTCAGCCAAATCTAGACTGCCCCTGACTGATTTTTGGCTTGAAGATGCTCTGGTGAATACTGGTACATTCTCTTATCAGCCTACAAACTGGTCCTCAGTCATTAGAATACGAATACGGTGGGACATACCACTGGGGAAAGGTGAAGTGCCTCAAGCATGAACCAGCTTCTATTTTACAAAGTATTTAGAACAACTGTAGGAAAGTAGGTGTTTGTTGAAAAATTGGACAGAGGGTTGGGTGTAGTCTCATGTGTGATTATTAGTCTCGTGTCACTAATGAAATATTCGACACAGGCTGCTTGTGAGGAAGCAGGTTATTTATCTCACAGTTTGCAGGGTCATAATCTAGATAGTAAAGCACAGGCTGTTTGGTGCAGACCAGCCCTTGGCTGCCTTCCCCCTCATGGTGTATAGCAATGGCTACAGGAGCAAGTGATCACTCTCCACTCTCCAGCCAGAAGCAGATACAGGATGGGAGGGGCCAGGCTTGTTCTTTTAATAACAGTCTTGTGAGAGCTCAAGGCTTTGGATGAGAAACTACCTTCTATGGCATGTCCCCAATGACCCATGGGCCTCTTGCTGTGTCCCACTCCTCCCAGCCAGCACCATCTTGCAGGCAAAAGCTCCAATCACAGTGGACCCCTGGGAATACTCCAACTATGCAGAGCATATGGCTTACAGTCTATCCTTAGAGTGAAACCATTTATTTGTAAAGTTTTTTCCATTAGGATGGGTAGCACATATCAAATGGGGTAAAAAATAATCATGTTATTGAGCCACTTTTTCTTTCTTTTTTTAGCATTTATTTATTGTCTAAAATGGGTTCATTATGAAATCTTCATAGGAAATTGCACCATGTATTCTGATCATACTCCTCCCTGTGCACCTTCCGTTGTCCCCTCTCCTTTCCCGCTGGTCCCCTTCCCCTTCCAAGTTAGTCTCCTTTCTGATTTCATATGAGAAAGAACATGTGCTATTGATCTTTGTGGTGTAGCTAATTTTGCTAACATGATTATCTTTTGAGGGACTAAATTCGACTTAAAATTATTTAAATTTTAGACCACATTAACAGAATTAAATTGTGCTTAGTTTGTATAATCTTACAGTGTCAGTTCTCCGAGTATAAAAAAAATAGCTAAAAATTCTATATAAACAATGCTAAGTCTACAAAATTTAAAGTAGTTTAATTTTGACAAATTCTATGAGATGTTTAAATTTGATAGTATTGTAGAGATTAAAACTCCATAGGTTTATTTTACAGTTGTTTTTCTCTCTGATACAGTTTTTGGTTGCCAGATTTCTTAATTGGAAGCTCATACTTGCTTTTCCCTGGGGACCTCATTAGTTATAGATTGTGAGCATTTTCTGACCCTCTGCAGATCTGTCTGCTCTGGTATTTGGAAGCTGAGCCAAAACTCAGTATGGATACAGTCAGCACAGTCATAAGTGATGTTTGTTTGCATTTCATGTTGCTTGGTTGTTATGAGATAGAACATCACAAGTAAATACTTCAGGAATCTTTTGGACACTCTTGAATGACTTTATTTTAAAGTTTATCTTTAACATACATTATGGTTTCTTTAGGAGTAGAAGCTGCTAGAGTAAGCTATCATTTACTTACTTTGCTTATTATATGATTGTGCTCCTTTGCCCCTAGCTGATAAGGCTTTTCGAGACATGAAAGTGCTCAAGATGAGCCAGTCTATCATTGTATCTGGAGAATCTGGAGCTGGCAAAACAGAAAACACAAAATTTGTTCTAAGGTGAGTAGCTAATATGAAATGTTTTGAACAGATAGGCATTATTTTCATGGTTAAAAAAAGTTGAAGACTAAATTTGCCAACTTAGCCATTTTGAAGTGTGCACGCACATTTGAACCACTGTGTTGTCTATGTCTTCATGTCACCAAACCCCAAATCTGTACACATTAAACAGCTTGCTGCTACTTCTCCAACTGCTGGTTAGTACCCTTCTCTTGGATTCCTATGAATTTCTCTTCTAGGTACCTTGTATAAGTGGCATTGCACAGTAGCAATCTTCTGTGACTTATTTCATTTAGCTCAGAATATAATTCACCCATGTTTGAGCCAGTCATAGTGGCATGGACCTATATATACTCAGCTTCTTGGGAGATTGAGGCAGGAGGGTCACGTTAGACTACAGTTTTGGGCATAGCCTAGGGAACATAGCAAGGCCGTGTCTCTTAAAAAATCACCCAAGTTATAGTAGGTATCTTAAAGTACGCATTAGAATTTCCTTTTTAAATATAGGACTAAATAATATTCCATTGCAGGCATTACTGTATTTGGTTATTTGTCCATTTGTTGATAGGCTCTTGGCTTGTTTCTACCACTTGGCTGTTGTGAATAATGCAGTTTTGAAGGGGGTTGCACAGATACTTAAGCAGGGTGGCTTTTTTGGGGGGGGATCTTTTTGAGACAGGGTCTCCCCAGGTAGCCCCAGCTGACCTGGAACTCTCTATATAGACCAGGTTGGCCTTGAACTCACAGAGATTTGCTCGCCTCTGCCTCCCAGGTGCTGGGATTAAATGCGTGCGCCACCACGCCCAGCTAGCAGGTTGACTTTTAATACCTTTGCATACATTATGATGTAGTTTTTGGAAGAAATAAACATCTTATATGTTGGAAGCTAATTTGTATGTTGTGGAAAGCCAGCTTTGACATATTATTTGCTGGAGTATTCTGTAGGACAGTGCTGGTTAGGCAAAGGGAAATCTAGGAATATTTCTTCAAAATTCAAAATCCAAATGGATATCCTATTCTCTATGTTTGTGCTATGAAAGTTTTTTCTCATTTCTTTTAAAAACTTTTTCCATTACATTTTCCTGTATTTTGTACACTACATCTTGATCATAGTTAGACCAGTCCCCTGTCTGCACTCCCTCCCGTAGCCCTCTTGCTGGATTTCATGCATTCTGTCATATATGTTAAGGCCTGTTGAGTCAAGTTTGTATTCCCGTATGTCTCTCAGTGTGAGTCCATCCACTGGAACCTGGTCAACCTATCTAGCATCACTTGCTTAAAGAAGACCCTCTCTTCCTCACCCAGCAGTGATCAGTTGCCAATGATTCCTCTGCTAAGGTTGGAGCTTCTTACCCATTTCCCCAGTTCTGTGCAGGGTTTTTGTCTGCTTGAGCTTACATGGGTCTTGTGCATGCTGACACCATTGCTGTAAATTCATATGAGCAAGTTCTCAGCTGCCTGGAAAATTCTGTTTCCTTGTGGTCATCTGCCACTCCTGGCTCTTACAGTCTTTATGCCCCTTCTTGGACTATGAAATATTTTTGAAACTACTTTTCACCTGAAAGTTTTGATGGTTGGCCTTTTGATTCAACTGACTCATATCCCTTCTCTAATCCAATCCCCTTTGCTGCCATCACATTAAACTCTCAACACTTTGTGTACAGTCATAACATTTTTCAAGAGGAAGGAATATAACACTCATTATTTCACTCTTTTAAACTTGCATACTGTATTAGTTACTTGTCTCATTGCTGTGACAAAAGCACGTAAGAGAGGAAGAGTTCATTTTGGCTCATAGTTCCAGGGTATAGTCTATCATGATGGAGAAGTGGGAGGCCAGCTGGTCATGTTGCATTCACGGTAAGCAGAGAAACAGGAATGCTTGTGCTTAGCCTGATCTGTCTTTTTCATGCAGTGCTGAACTCTAGTACATAGAGTGGTATCACCCACATTCAGAGTGGGGCTTCCCACCTCAGTTAAGCTAATCTGCATAATCCCTCACAGGTGCGGCCTTAGACCTGGCTCCTAGGTGATTCTAGGTCTTGCCAAGTTGATGATTAATGTTAACCACCACACATATCCAAGGAAGTTAAATCTAGGACGAGTACACTTTGAATTTTCTCCAATATTGTTCCTAATCTATTACAGCTCTTAGTTGATTGTTGTATGATAGAGCCTTCTATGAAATTTTGGTATTTTTTTATGCAAGTATATATAGTTATTAAGTAGTTATTAAGAATTACTTATAGCCAGGTGTGGTAATGTACACTTTTAATCTGAGGGTTGGAGGCCAGCCTGGTCTACACAGCGAGTTCCAGACCAGGCAAGGTGACATAATGAAACCATGTCTCAAAAAACAAAACAAGAGTTACTTATATAAACACAGTAGGAGAGTTTGTTACTGCTTTTTATATGCATTTTTCGTTAAATAGATGTTTACTAATACTTTTGGAATTTCAAGTGGTTAATTTCATGTTCTTTTTTATTGTATGTAATAGTTATATAGCAAGTCTATGTTTAACATATGAAGATGAACAAAAAGTAGAAGAGCTGCAGTCAAGTCCTGTGCACTAGTACATAAAAGATTGTGCTTTGTTTGGAGATGTTGGAGGCAAATAGCTGTTTAATTCTTTCTTTTCAAGTAACAGCTAAGAGAAATCATCTCAATTTTCAGTGATTGATTGCTTTGTTTTCTGTAGCCATAACGGTTGAATTAATAGAGTGCTAAAAAGGCATTGTAGGGTTGGAGAGATGGCTCAGCAGTTAAAGGCACTGAATGTTTTTGTAGAAGACCAGGGTTTGAATCCCAGCACCCACATGGCAGCTAACAACTGTCCATAACTCCAGTTCTAGGGGATCCCACACCCTCTTCTGACCTCCATGGGCATTGCTGGACACAGGTGCCCTTCCATACATGCAGGCAATACGTGCATATATATAAAATAAAAATAATAAAATATTTTTTAAAAAAGGTATTGTAGTCTCTTGTAGTTGATGAATATTCCCAGGTGTACTGTGTGACATACTTAAAACTAAATAATTGATTAAAAATCAGACTAGCGCCCAAACAGCTTAAAAATGTAATACTATGTCATGCACATGACCCCCCAAATAAAAATTTAACAAAAATTTAAAACCTACTAAACAATTATAATGAGACCTACATTTCAGTTTTGCATGTATTAAATATTAAATTTATAATTGTATTGTAACCAATATTATAGTTATTCAAGTTTTAAAAAATTGATCTTGTATTTTAAATAGATACCTGACTGAATCTTATGGAACGGGTCAAGATATTGATGATAGAATTGTTGAAGGTATTGTTAATTTTCATTTATTACTGTTGGGCACTACTGGTTAACTGAGAAGAATCCTTTCAGTGGTTTACAGTGTTCTCCCAGGGATTCAACACTGTCCAATCTCCTGTAATCTTTCCTCAGATATTACCTTCGTGCTAACCTACTAACCTGTTGTCTCTCCTGCACCCCACCATGCAAGCATCAAGGAATTGATTCCCCTTATATTTCAAGCCCCCAGAGTAGTGCCCGATGCATAGCATAAACAATGAATGAGTGGATGGAAGGTATATAGGCAGCTCTTTACCTTCCTGTTTGTTTTCTGGACATTGTTTTTCTATAAAGAAGGAAAGATGAAAAAAGTTGTTTGGCATTAAGGCACTCTTCTGGGGGGTATTTTAACACTGTTCTCTTGGAGGCCAAGAGTGTATAAATTTATTCTTTGAGCTGCCTATACTGTGTCCCTTTGGAAAGATGGCCTTTATCTCACAGAGATCTCTGCCCCTGCCTCCCGAGTACTGGGAGCCCAGCATTTCTTTTACTAACACCATACTGCTTTAGTGCTCCAAAACCACCATGGGTGTCACCTTGGTGCTCTGTGTGGTGTGGCTCCCATCCCAGCTGCTCTAATCTTGAGTCTTGTTTCCTTGATTCCTTAACCTTTAGTCATGTCGATGGTCTTCTCAGTCACTGAGCTGTCTATGCTTTTCTAACTCTGCTTCCTCATTTTCCCTTTACTAGGTAGTCTGTCCTACTTGCAGACTGAATAAGTAAATTAAGTCAGTCACTAAATAAATAGAAGAGAACAAATTGTGGGCTAACCTAAGATCTGATTAGTGTTCTGGTTTATTTACTTGAAGTGCAGACTCACTTGAGAATTGGATATAAGCTCAGTTTCCTTCATGGTAATGTTCTATGTGGTTTATAGTTGCAAAAATTTGGAAAGTATTTTTCCAAATGTTCTATAGCTCCTTGGTGGAGAATTATAGGTGTGATTGGGTGGCTGTTGAATGATTTGATGCCATCCTTAATAGAAATTTGGTTGTTGATTTGGGAATGAGTGTATTATTAACAACTTAATTATAATTTTCTCATCAACAGATTCTTAGCCTATTTGGGGATATTGTATTTATGTTAAATTTTACTTAAATTGGGAGCTAGAGAGATGGCTCAGTGGTTAAGCACGAATAGTGCCCTTGCAGAAGACCCAAGTTCAGTACCCAACACCCATATCATGTTGCAAAGAACTGCCTGTAACTCCAGCTCCAGGGTATCTGATAGCTTTTTCTGGCTTCCAAGGGCACCCACACTCACACGTACATACTCCCCTACACATATATACTTAGAGTTAAAATGAAATTAAAAATCTTAAATTTTTTACTTAAATCATTTAGTGGACTCTGTAAGGAGGTTGGAGAGACCTATAATTGAGTTCATTTTTTGGTCACTTGCTAGTCATTGCCTGTGAGACTTGGTTTGCCCTGACCTTTGTTTTCTTGCCTATCTGAAAATCGAAGGATTTATGCTAACATTTCTCTGTTGTAATACTGTGTTTTGGAAAGTGAAATGACTGAAGAATGATCTACAAAAAAGTTTGGAGATTAGTTTAGACATCCGCTGTGGGCAGAATAAGCGAAAGATATATTCTCAAAATGAACACTAGGAAGCAATTTTTATGATGTTGATTGTTGACGAATATTAAGTTGTTTACAAATATTTAAGGTTAATATGCTATGTCTATAATTGAGACTGATAAATATAGGAATTATAGTATCCAGTCATGTGTGTGTTTATAAAATAAAATGTTGCATTTGTTTATAGAGATTTTAAAAACTTCTGAAAGCCTGTGAGGGAATTCTATAAACTTAATTTGCTAAGTTTCAGTGGAACTGGAGCATCATGTAAAAATATTTTTAATGCTTAACTGTGAATGTTTCAATAAAGTATTTTTTAAAAGTAAGTCAAATAACAATTTCTTATCTGTATTTTGCCACAAGAGCTTTGCTATATATATTAATTATTTTCTCATTGCTGTGACAAAATGCTCAACAAAGGTCATGGTTGAGGGTCCATTCTGTCATGGTTTGAAGGCATGGTGCGAATGTGAGGTGGCTAGTCATGTCTTCAGTCAGGAGACAGAGTTGAATTCTAGTATGCTGGTATCATTCTCTCTCTCTCTCTCTCTCTCTCTCTCTCTCTCTCTCTCTTTCTCTCTCTCTCTTTTTAAGATAGAGTCTCTCTGTAGCCCCAGGTGGTCTGGATACTATGTAGACCACACTGACCTCAGTCTCATAGAGACCCACCTGCCTCTGCCTCTGCCTCTGCCTGCTAAGTGCTGGGATTAAAGGTGTGTGCGACCACACCAGGTGCTTTCTCTTTTTTATTCAGCCTAGGACTCCAGCTCATAGGGTTCCACATTCAGAGTGGGCCTTCCCTCCACTGAACCTCTCTTGAAACTCCTTCATAGACACACCCAGAATTTTGTCTCCTAGGTGTTCTAAATACTGTCAAGTTGGCAGTCAAGATTGTTAACCATCACTATCTTACCAGCTGTATGATAAGCACTCTGTAGAGCTGATGCACTTGAGGAAACCTTGAACTTCTTAGGGAACAATTTTTAGAGATAGATTGTAAAATTTGTAACCTAGTGATTTCTTAAAATCTAGTTTCCCCTTAGTATTGACATTTTATTTACCTTGAGTAACTCTTCCATTCCTGCACTTGAGTAGCACCTGAACACAGTGGGGTATTTGCCAGTTTTCTTGTTTCTATGATCAAATACCTGTGCAAAGCAACACAGGGAAGGAAGTATTAATCTTGGGTCACAGTTTATGGGTACAGTCCATCATGGTAATGGTTGGCAGGAGCTTAAGGAGGCTGGTCACAGCGCACCTATGGTCGAGAAGAGATAGGAGTGCTAGTGCTCAGCTTGCTCTCTTCTCTTTATGCATGTCATGACCCCAGTTCATGGAGTGGTCCCACCCACAGTTAAAGTGGGTCTTTCTACTTCAGTTAACCTAATCTAGGTATTTCCTCAGAGGCATACCTAGAAGCTGACATAATCTAGGTAATCTGTGAGGACAGATATGCCCAGAGGCTGGTTTCCTAGGTATTTCTACATCCTGTCCAGTTGTCAGACAATATCAGTCATCACAGTAGGTAAACATTGGACTTGTAGAATTTGACATGAATTAATTATTCTGCTAACTCTTTTTAATAATTTAAAAAAGTTTTGAGAGTTTCATATGTATATAAGTATTGTATTTGCGTTACTTACATCCTTCCCAGTTCCCCTCCAACTCCTCCCATGTTACCCCTCCAACTCCCTCACAATTTTTTGTCCTCTTCTCTGTTATTATTACATATGCATACACACACATTTATAAATACATACACATGCACACACATACATGCATACATGCCTGTATCACTGGGGTCATTTAGTGGTGCCCCTGGAAGGCAGCTGTGCTTACCACTATACCACCAATGCCACAGCTAGTGGTGCTCCTGTATAACTGTGTTTAGGGCTGCCCAGTTGCGATTATCTCTCAGGGAGCTAGTTCCTGGAGAAAACTTGATTCAGGATCCACTGAATGCCTATAGCTCTTCATCTTGAGGTGGGACTACATGAAATTTCTGCCACCCACCTTGACATGTCAACTTGTTTTGTCATTATGAAAATCTTCTTAGGACACCATACTGTGTAAATTTCATTGGTATAACTTCTCTGTCATGTTTGGAATGCATTAAGTAGCAGCAGGTGTTTTTCCCTCTGGCCCTTACATTCTTTCCACCCCCTCTTCCATGATGTTCCCTGAGCTTTAGGTGTAGAGGTTGCATTACAGATGTGTCACTTGGGGCTAGGCATCTCACAGTCACTTATTCTCTGTATTTTGACAGTTGTGGAACTTTGTAATAATCCCCATCTGCTGTAGCTTCTTTGATGAGTAGTGAGAGGTGTACTTGTCAGAGTGATCCAGTGTGGGAGCAGAGCATTCCGGGCCTCTGCTAATGCTTTTAAAACATTTATTTCAGCATTTTCCAACAGTCTTTCTATGGAGATATTGGTTTATAATTTTTATGCTAATTTTTAATGGAATATTTTCTTTTCTTTTTCAATAGCAAATCCGCTTTTAGAAGCCTTTGGAAATGCAAAGACTGTTCGTAACAATAATAGCAGTAGATTTGGAAAATTTGTAGAAATTCATTTCAATGAAAAGGTAAATGAAAACGACTTTTGGGATATGTTTGGGACGTGTTTGTGATAAATATAAGTATTAGAATTGGAGTTTGTATGATTCTTTAAAAAACTTTATTATTATTATAGTTTCTTTTATTATTGTGGGGGGCATCATGTGTGTCACAGTGTGTGTGGGGAGATCAGTGAACAACTTTGTGGAGTTGGTTCTTGGCTTCCACCTTTACATGTGTTCTTAAACTTATAATAAATCCCTTTACATTTCTTCATTACTTTATCTTATCTTTTGAAATTTAAATTGAAAATTTTTTGAAACAGAGACTTAGTATGCAACTCAGGCTGGCTTGGATATCATGATCCTTCTGCCTTAGCCTCCTGAATGCTGGAATTACAGGTGTACAGCACCAAGTCCAGCTTTTTTATTTGTTTGTTATTTTAGAATAGGAACACAAACACACACACACACACACACACACACACACACACACACACACACATGCACACACACACAGAGTCACCATTACAATCCAAAATTTCTTTTCAGTTTAAAACTCAGCTATTGGATTTGACTTCAGCATTGAATATAATTTTATAGTTAGCCTTTTTTTCTCATCATTTACTCCTTTGTTGTTTTGATGACATGCCATTATTCTATATGTTAATGGGGCGCAATGTGATATGTAGTGATAACTATATCTGTATATCTATGTATTTCTGTGGTCCATACTCATTAAATCTGGGCAAGTAGTATTTTTCTCTCATCAGTTCTTGTGGGAGGATTTGAGCTTTTGGTAAGAGATGATGGGCTGTTGTGGACATTACAGTGCACTGCAAAGCCCACTCTGATTCTGTAGAGACTTAAAACCAAGAAGGATCAGGGTAGAAATTTGGTGATGTTTAAAATAAAGGATGGCCTCTAGAAATTCAAAGTGTACACTTCAGATATCCTTTTTTTCTGGTATTTGGTGAATATTATAACTTCTTTGATGAATAAATGTTTATTAGAAAAGATAAATTTAGCCAGGCTTGGTGGTGCACAACTTTAGTCCCAGCACTTAGGAGGCAGAGGCAGGCAGAGCTCTGTAAGATTGAGGCCAACCTGGTCTATGTAATGAGTTCCAGGCCAGCTGGGGCTATTGGGAGACCCTGTCACAAAACAAAACAAAAAACCAAACCAAACCAAACCAAAACAAAACAAAAAACACACAAAACAAAACACAAAACAACATAAACAAAAAAACAAAACACAAACCAACACCAAAACAAAACACAGATAAATTTAACATTGTTATACTTTATATTTTAAGACCTTAGATGCAAAAACATGTTTTCTCTTTTATCTTTTAGAGTTCAGTAGTTGGAGGATTTGTTTCTCATTATCTTCTAGAGAAATCCAGGATCTGTGTTCAAGGCAAAGAGGAGCGGAATTACCATATCTTTTACCGGCTCTGTGCTGGAGCTTCAGAGGACATTAGGGAAAAGCTTCATTTGAGTTCCCCAGATAATTTTCGGGTAGGTTGGAAGAAAATAAATTTTATACAGGACTTGCAAATTGTTTTCTCTTCAGTTATAAGGCTTATTTTATTATATTTTGATATCTAGTTGTATTTGTACATATACATTAAATGAAGTACAATAAACTTTCCATACCTGCAGATTTTACATCTCTGGCTTTAATTAACCATGAATTGATAATTTTTTCAGATGAGAAAAAAGTACATCTGTAGTTGAACATATATAGATTCCTTATTACTTCAACAATGAAGCATAATATCCCTTTACATAGCATTTATGTTGTATTAGTGTAAAGAATCTCCATGTGATTTAAAGTATATGGCAGGATGTATAAATGCCGATCATATAAAAATCCTATGCCATTTTGTGTATGGGATTTAAGGCTCTGCAGATTTTGGTATCCAGTATCCAGAGGGATTTTTAAAGCATCATCAGTCCTCCTGGATACCTGAGATGTAACTATGTAATGTGTTAGAATGATAGCTTTACTGGCAAGATCTTGTTGAGATTATTTCTGAGTTTCTCATACAGGTTGAGCATCCCTAATATGAAAATCTCATATCTTAAACACTGTAAAATCTAGGACTTTATAGTTTTTGATTTGGGATGCTCAACTGAAAATGAAGCTTTATCCAAATATTCCCAATTTAAACAACTCCAAAATATGGACCACTTTTTTCAAGTAGTTCAGATAAGTGACCCTCAACCTATACAACACTGTATAAGAAGCTGTGTCATTCAGAAGGTAAAAGGATAGCTGCTTAAAACCATATTAATTTAAAGGTAATCAGAAATTTATAGTAGTTCTGTAATCCTTTAAATCACCTTTAACGTGTCTGTACAGAGTTTGTTTTAAGATGGTAAGTTGAAAACTCATGCCAGCATTATCTCTTCCCCTCTTTACCTCAAAAGATTCAGGGATAGAAGTAAAAACTGTACAGCTCATTGCCTAATTTGTTGTATTTTAGTTTTTAATTTCAATGGAGGGGAATGTGGCACAATTGAAGTGTTGATTTACCCTCAGATCATTCAAATCTCCTATCATGTTTTTCCTTGGCTTGTGTACTTGAACTTTATCTTGTAATCCCTGCCATTGGTTCAGTGTAGTCATTGTGATTGGAAAGAAAGCAGGATGCTCAACTTTTCTCTCCTACACTCTATGTGCGCCTTTCCCAATGCCCTCATAAATGTAACAGATTCTCTTGGAAACCAGTATATTATGATTATTAAATTTGAGAGCTTTTTGGATTGTGGAATATTACATAGACTTTACCAGGTTAGCATCCCTGATCTGAAATCTAAAGCCTCAAATATTCCAAAATTACAAAGCATTTTAGAATAGGGATGGTTCCCTTGTTGTGTAGTTTGAAAACACTTGGCTTTTTGTTTGTTTTTGCTGTGCTGGGAATCTAGCCCAAGGCTTTGCTTATGCTGGCCAGGAATTTAGGCACTGAGCTATACCCCAGCTTTCAAGTATTTCTGAGATGAGAAATTATTTGATTCACAGAGCAAGTGATATAATTTATTTACAGTCATGGTTAGCTGTCAGTAAATCTGAAAGTCATGTTTTGAAGAACTGAGTTAAAAATCAGATATTAGGGAAATCAAGAGTAATGTTTAATTATTGAGAACTCACAATATCATTGGAAGTACTATACCACATTGCATTCCTCTTTGACATGCCACGTAGCAGAATGGTGATTTTTCACTTTTGTCAGTAATTCATAGGTGATGCATTGTAGTTTAAAAAGATGTTTAACTAAGGACATAAAGTTGCTACCCTTTGAAAACAGGAAATTTTGGTTTGAATCGTGATAATTTTATTTAATCTACTTTCAGATATTTGGTTTTTAAAAAATATCTCTGCTTAGGAAGAGTAGAATATTTATAAATACAGAATTTCTGATTTTAATTGAGAGATTAAATAAAACTCATGTTTAGAAATTCATTTTGGTTCATACTACTTGGTGAGTTGACCTTTCTCCTGTATCTTTTTCCTATGTGTTAATTGTACTGTGAATTTATTTGTCTTAGTATTTAAACCGAGGCTGCACGAGATACTTCGCTAACAAAGAGACTGATAAACAGATTTTACAGAACCGCAAAAGCCCTGAGGTATAGTAGAATTTTTTAAAAATTAAAATATTTAATGTAAAAAGTGCTGCGCCACAGGCATTGCACGACACGGGTGCACTTACCTACACGCAGGCAATACACACATACACATAAAATAAAATAAAAAATAAATAAAATATTAAAAAAAATTCTGCTAAAGGATATGTTTATTATTTGGAACTCAAGTAAGCTTTCTTGCTTTAAGTTTATGTTTTTAAGTTAAGTAATGATGCAACTGTCTTGTAGTGTAGTGCTGTGAGCCTCCGTTCTGTGTGTCGCTGCAGGTTTTGGTTCTTTCCGGGTCTGAATGCTCTGCTTTCCTTAGGTCCTTTTCTAGTTTTGGTGGTGTGAAATTGCTTCAGAATCATCCTATTTTAGCAAACTTACTCTGATTCTACTCATTCATAATTAGGTGTGTGTGCCAGTAAGCTTTCTGTTGATGTGACAAAATGCATGAGCAGATCAACTTGAAGTAGAGAAGATTTAATTTGGGTCATGATTTCATATTTCAGTCCAAGGTCAGTTGGCTCCATTGTTTGTGGGGCATTGGAAAAGCCAGAGCATAAAGTTTAGAGCACATGGCAAACTGCTTATCTCATGGTTACCTGAAAGTGGATGAAGGCAGAGAGAGGGGAGAGGAGAAAGGGATACAGGGACATTCCCTGAACTAGTGTATCAGGGATACAGGGACATTCCCTGAACTAGTTCATCCACATTTTCATTACCTCCTTATAGCCCATCAAACTTTGAGCCCATTAGTGGATTAATCTGTTGAGGAGATCAGAGCCCCCATGACTCAATCACTTCCCAAAGCCCTTCCTCTAAATACTGTTGCATGGGGAGCCAAGTCTTCATCAGATGAACCTTTTGAGCGGGATATTCCAATACAAACCATAGCTGTATGCTTCTTAAAATTTATTGTCTTCTGAAGTAAGATTTGAAATAGACAATAAATAAGCACTCTTATGAAAGGATGTTTAAATATTATAATTTTGCTGTATAAACCATATTTTTAGAATTTATTATGGAAAGTTTTATATGTGTTAGTCTCATATTTCTAATAATTATGTAACTTTTGTTTTAAAAGCATTAAATAAAGATTTTCAGTTTTTGTAAATCTTAACATGAAGTATTGAAGTAATGAGTTGTAGTCCGTTGTATCCTAAACAAGGGGCTTAAATTAGGAAAACTAAACCTGAGTTAGTTACAGATGCTAGTTAATCTTGCCTTCATTGTTTTATTGAAAGTACTCAGTTTTTACTGTTACCAGTTTTTAATGCTCCTATATTTTCTAGTCAGGTATTTTGACTCTATTTAGGCTGGGTATGATAAATTATATATAAAATACTTTTATAAAACAATAGAAAGCAAATAAAATTCCTATTATGTCAAATTCTGAACAGATGAAATAGTAGTTAATTCTTGTTTGATACTTTGTATGTTATTTTAAGATGCCTGAATTATCTAAACTATTTTACAGCCATGGTTGAGACTTTTAGAAACAGCATTAATATTTATTATAGTTTTTATTTTTCTTTGGCTTGATAACACTTTTTGTAAGATACCACCTAATGAATTGTAATCTTTCCACTAAGATCATCAGAACTTAGACACTGCAGTTGTCCTGTAGGGAGAGGCATAAAAGCCAAAAGCATAGAAAACAGTAGAGAGAGAAAGCGAGTGCTGACACTCCAGGGTATCATGTTCTCTAGTGGGGGAGGGCGCTGTCTTTTTATTTTGGAGTCAGCATGCTTTACCAGGAATTGTGCTAACATTATTGAAGGAGAATATGTATATGTATAATATGTATAGGTGAACAATGGATTAATATGTTTAAATCACTTTTTATGTCTTCTTTGTCAGGAGGATGAGGTGATCATTTTGACTAATTAAACCCTTTGCTTAATTCCATTTGAATGCCTTAAGCTCTGTGTAATTTTTAGGAGACTGCAGTATTTTTAGTCTGCCATAAAACAAATATGTTAACTAACATTTGGTTAGAAAACAGTATGTAAATGATGCAAACATTCAATTGCAAGACTAAAAATTCTGCATGATAATGTTTTTCTAAAAAAAGCTTTGCATGTGATTGCTGCCTTTGCTTTTTAAGAATAGGATAAAATGGAAATTCATTTCTAGACATTTTCCAGAAATGTAATGAGTAATAAGACATTTAAATGCTCTTGAGAAGGTAGTCATAATGGTACCCGAAGAGCAGCTATTTACTGGGAGAAGAAAATGTCTGTCTCCTGGAGCCTATTCAATGCCAGTTAATTCTGATGTGGAGGTTCTTTATCTTTAGTTTTAAATTGTCTCGTTCTGGAAAATTCCTAGGTCAGTTTTTCTGTGTGAAGTTACTTTTTCGTGTTCTCTCCTTTCGCTTTTGTATGCTTAACTTTCTTCTTTCCTTTGAGTTTGTGACATTATAACAAATATTTCAGATGCAAGCTCTATTAAAAGAAAATTCTTTTTTTTCTTGAAAGCCATTGCACAAATCTCTAGAGTTAGACTAATGCTCAGTACTGCACTTTACTTCATACACAGAAAGGTTGAAAGAATATTTCTCAGACCATGAAAATGGAATCTCCCATCCAGGATGTATGTGTACACATGCATGTAATTGTCAGCAGTTAGCCTAGTGCTGCTCCAGTTGTCACACTTACATGTTTATTGTGATTTTTCACCTGTTCTATTTTTGCATATTTTTAATTGACAAAATTGTGTATGTTTGTAAGCTACAGTGAATTATCATGTAATATTTTCACATTGCATACGTCATAGAATAACAAAATCAAATGAATTAACATATCCATTACTACTTAAATTCTTTCTGATCTGAAGCTGGTCATTCATTTCAGCCAGATATTCCCTCCTTTCCACTGGATTATATTTATCTAATAACTTAGACATAATATTTTTGGTTAATATTGCAATTTAATTGGAAAACATCTCATTCTATTGTTTTAATTGAAGTTTTAATTGAAATAATTGTAGATTCACATGTAGTGGTAAGAAATAACAGAAAGCTCTGTGTACACTTTAGCCATTCAGTTTTTGAATGCATTCAAATGCTTAAATTTTTCTGTTGACAGATTTTATTTTTGCATGTTATGTGTTGAATTAATAGTCCTGCTGTTGTAGTTTTAGTTTATTTAAATAACATAAATACCAGTTAATCGATACCTTCTTGTTTTATAGTACATTAAGGCAGGTTCCTTAAAAGATCCTCTATTAGATGACCATGGAGATTTTATTAGGATGTGCACAGCCATGAAAAAAATCGGTTTGGATGATGAAGAAAAGCTTGATCTGTTTCGAGTTGTAGCTGGTGTCCTACACCTTGGAAACATTGATTTTGAGGAAGCTGGCAGCACTTCAGGTTTTTAATTCTTTTTAATTAATCAATAAAATTGGGTATAATGTTTGTCATTTCCTAGCCATATGAAAATTCAATCATGGATGTGCTGATTTGTTGCAGTTTCTACAAATTTCTAGAAAGTGCTGCATTGCATGGTGACTCTGGTGGATGAAGGGTGCTTTATTGTTTTGAACAAATCAGTAGTTGTTCTTACTAGGTTTATAGTTTGTTAAAATTTCCAACTAATATTATACTTTTAATAATTAACAGAATAATTACCCATAATATATTTTTAAAACTTTCTGATTCATGAATCTAAACTTGAATGAGTTAATTAGGGTAATTAAATAAACGAAAGCCCGTATCATTGTTTTAGTGAAGGATGAAAAGAAATGACATTTCATTCTGTGGAAGTTGAAGAGTATTGGAATACCCAAAGATAGTAACTTTTCAACTTTCAGTATTTCAGTCTCTATAGAAACACTAAGACTTTTGTATAATCATAAATTTGATCTGTGAATTCAGACTTGGCACATCTGGCTTGTCACCTGTTTTTGTAAATGAAATGTAAATAGAGTATAGGCCACACCCATTGTCTATGTATTGTTTATGCCTGGGTTCATGCTTCTGGGGCAGAGCTGAGCTCCAAGAGCCTGCATGCCCTATGAAGATATTCACTGTCTGGCCCTTCAGGGCAAAGGGTTGTCTAGCCCTGCGTTTAACACATTTTGGTGGAATCAGACACCAAGGATGAATTAAGAAGAACTTGGAACACTACTTAATCCAGCAGTCAGTACCATGGGCTTGGTATCAGGACCAGGCTCTCTGAGGTTTCTTCAGTCACAAAATGAAATAATTTACAAGTCCTTTAAAAGTACAATTCCTAGTAATAGTATGCATATAGGAAAGGGGCACACAGAAAGGGAAAAAATAGACCTTTTGAGAAATAATATGCTGGAGCTCAAAATTAGCTCTGCAGTAGAGCTCTGTACTTTTCCTAGCATTTCCCTTCCCTCCCGCCATCCCTCTCGTGTTTTTTTCTTTAAAATAATATTTATTTATTTATTTTTATTTTATGTGTATGAGTGTTTTGCCTGCATGTCTGTAAGGGTACCCATGTTATACAATGATCTTGTAGGTCAAAAGAGGTCATCAGATCCCCTGAAACTGGAGTTACAGATAGTTGTTAACACCATGTGGGTGCTGGGACCTGAACCCAGGTCCTCTGCAGAAGCATCCAATGCTCTTAACCACTGAGCCATCTCTCCAGCTCCTCCTTCATAATCATAATTGAAGCATCATAGAAGTAATGGGCTAGGAGATGTCTCCATTCTGTAGAAGAAGTGGAGCTGGTATCAATGCCGTGCATGGTTATTAATGAAATGATAATGCCCATGTGTGACGAACCCAGGCCTTGTGATAATTGTCTTTCATTGTCTTCAGGCCGCTGAACCTTGTGATCTGTGAATGAGCAAACTAAAGAGGGCAGTCTTCAGTGACTTTCAGATTTAATGGCCTGTGGTCCTGTTTGGTCAATAATGTCAGACAGCATAGAGTAGAAGATAAGCGTTTGTTCTTGAGTCAGATAGCTTCATCATGTGCTGTCTGCCTTGCCCATTCCATGTCTCAGCTTTCTCACTGTAAAGGGGTAATAGTCCTACCTCACACTGTGCAGAGAAATAAATGAGTTAATTATTTACAAAATGTTTTGAATACTGGTGTTTGGCAGATAGCAATCTCTATAAATTCCATAAATGAATAAATAAAATAAAAATACAGATTATTCCTCTTTGAAATAAGAAACAAACAAAAATAGGTACTTTTAATTTGCACCAGCAATTTTAAAGTTTTTTTTCAAAGAATTGGAAAGTTTTAAAAAAAATTTATTTATTATTTTTATTTTATGTGTATCACCTGCATGTAGTTAAGTGTATCCGTGTCATGCAATGCCCCCGGAGGTCAGAAGAGGCTGTCGGATCCCCTGGGACTGGAGTTACAGGTAGCTGTTAGCTGCCATGTGGGTGCTGGGATTCGAACCCGGGACTTCTGCAAGAACAGTCAGTGTTCTTAACCACTGAGCCATCTCTCCAGCCCCGGAAAGTTTCTTTTGAAAATATAGTACAACATACATCTTTAGCATTGTTACACTAAAGGGAGGACGGAGGAAAGTCTAGGTAGTGCTTAAAAATGATTTAACATACAATTAACATGCATGTTGGAAATGTTAGAGGTGGTAAGTGGCTCTTTCCTGCCTGTTACTGCCCTGAGATGTAGTGTGCAGATGTCAGAATATCATTAATAGTAGAAGATCCAGCCAAGTGGTCAAAGAGGAACAGCATGTGTTTGCACTCTTTTCTTCTCAAGTTTCTTTCTGTTGTAGAGGAAGTAAACAGAATTCAGGGAAGATTGGATGGAGTGAGGCAGAAAATTAGATCATCTTTTATTTCAATAGCCCAAGTTTTGTTATGTTGATTATCATTTATCATGTGACTCTTCCCATAGAATCAAATGATTTCCTTCTATTGGTAGTGAGATTTCCCCTCCTTCTCTCTAAAGAAGTCAACTTCGGAATGTCCTAGACACTTGAACAAAAAGTCAGTACTTTTGTAATTATTTTAATATAAAGTTCATTGTCCAATAAACACTTGTAAGGCTCCTCACTGTCATAAAAAATGTTTACCTTAACAAAAATATATAAAACACCTGCCTATGTTAAAAAATTCCATGTTAAAAAACATATGGTATTATAATAGTAATATAATAAGCAATATAACAACAATAAAAATAGAAAAAAAGTGAGTGTTGACTGGAAAGAGCTCAGTGGATTAGAGCAGACTTCTTGCAGAAGACCCAGCTTCAGTTCCCAGCACCCACATGGTGGCTGACAATCACCCATAACTCTAATTCTAGGGCATCCAACACCATCTTCTGGCCTTCATGGGCATTGTATGACATGGGTGCACTTATTTACACGAGACAAAATTTCCATGCACATAAAATAAAGAAGTGAGTGACATGAAAACTCCACATTATTTCATAATCTTTCCCTTTTAAGATAAAATTTGTTTTCTTTTTCTATTGGCCTAGATAATTCCTTTAAAAAACCCTGCAATTAGTGAAAAAAAAGAGATACCTAAATAAAGTCATGAAGGGTCAGTGGACACTTTTTTGAGACTGATGTAGTGTTAGCATAGATGTGCCTGACAGGGCGTTACTCGTATCCCTGGCAGGATGGCACAAGATTCTGTCACACTGTTCAGAAATTTAAAATTTTTTAAATTTAAATTTTAAAGAATGTGTCTTGAAAATATAGTTTATCTCATGTTTACTAATATTATAACAAATGTTTTTACTAAGGCGGTTGCAATCTGAAGAATAAATCTACGCCGTCATTGGAGTACTGTGCTGAATTATTGGGTTTGGACCAAGATGATCTTCGGGTTAGTTTAACCACGAGAGTTATGCTCACAACAGCAGGGGGCACCAAAGGAACAGTTATAAAGTAAGTCCCTTTACTCACTGTTCTGCAAAAATCCTGCTTTGTAGTTTGTCAATGAAAAGTAATTTTTTAAAAATATTTTATTTATTATTTTTATTTTATGTATATGAGTGTGTTGCCTGCATGTATGTGCGTGCACCTGTGTCTTGCAATGCTGGGGAGGTCAGAAGAGGGTTTCGGATTCCCCTGGAACTGGAGTTAAGGACAGTGCGTAGCCGCCATGTGGGTGCTGGGAATTGAACCTGGGTCCTCTGCAAGAGTAGTCAGTGCTCTTAACCACTGAGCCATCTCTCCAGCCCCTGAAAAGTAATTTTTTTTTGAGAACACTGAGATTTAAGGCCAGTCTTCATACATTATTCCTTCTTTTCATTTTAATGTTCCACACACTGTGCTTTATAGATTAAAATTCTGTGTCTCTGACTACCATGATGGCAAGAGAAGTTAACTTTTGCACAGCTGTGAAAATATGAGCTGATTATCTAAATTGATACCTGATTGTTTCAGGGAATAGATCATTTGACTTTTAAAGTGGTTTTCAAGAAAATGGTGTGCACTAAAGTTTGTACTAAGTACAGCTCCCTTGAGCAGAGTATTCAGCAAATGCAATGTCTCCTCACATCTGGTATTCTTCATTTTAGAGGAAGCTGAGGAAGTAAGGCGTCATGATTCTTTCTTTCAGATACCTGTCTCCTAGGAAGTATTTATTCATTTCTTGTCTTTTTTTGGTGTGTGGTGTATGTATGTGTTCATGTCACTGTGTACGGGTGTGTGCAGATGTGCATGCACTTGTGTGCCCATGAAGTTGTGTGTGTGGAAGCCACAGTCCTTTCTACCTCATTCTTTGAGACGACCTCCTGAACCTGGAGCTCACCAGTCCTCCAGGCTGGAAGGCCAGTGAACTCTAGGGAGCTGCCTCCTTCTCCCGTCCCCCCACCATTGCTGGGGTAATGATGCAATTACCATGCCTGGACTTTATGTGGGTGCTGGTGATCCCACTGTGCTTGTGCAGTAGGCACTTTGCCAACTGAGCCCTCTCCCCCACCCCTGGACGAAATTTTTAAAATCAGTAACCTAGAACTTCATTTGTACCAGGGTGTATATATAGTTTTGGCTTAATGTCATATATTTCATGAATTTTGTTTTGTTGTTTATAGAATAAATTAATATTTGTGCTTTATCATTTTGAGGTACTGTAATGCAAGATCTTCATTTGTGAGGAAAAAGTCAAGTGTCCCATCTTTTTTCTAAATAAGGCAGGCAGTGAATTCTACTGAGTTATTTCAAAAAATATTCAACAGTCAGAGGCAGGCATAGTGGTACAGCATATAGTCCTAGCATTTGGGAGACTGAGACAAGAAGACTGGCTCAAGTTTGAGGCCAGCCTGGGTCACATGGCAAGTACCAGGCCAACCAGCAATACATAGGAAGACCCTATCTCAAAAAACCAAAACAACAACAACCAGGAATTAAAACAAGAATTTTTTTCTAATGACACCGTATTTTCAATTAATTAACTATATAATTAATTAATTAATTTTTCAGTGCTGGGGGTCAAACCCAGGGCACTTGTGCATGCTTGGAATGCACTCTACCTCCGATTTATACCCTTAGTCCTCAGTTTTTAAAATTTTAATTCAATTTTATCTATTTATTTATTTATTTATTCCCCCCTCCAACCAATTTATTTTTACTCTTAAGGTCGTTTGAAGATCTGTTCCTCAGGGGTCACAT